AAAGCCTTTCATCTTTCTCCCATGAGTGGTTTCAAACTGCTGACCTTTTGGCTAGCAACCCAATGCATAGCCACTATTGCCACCAGGGTTTGCAGCTACTTGTTCTTCACTGGTCAAGGCACACCACACCACACAGGAGCATGTGACAAGAAACCCAGGGCCAGAGAGGGGTCAGCAGCACACTTTCACCAGTCCCCATCTCTTGCTTTACCAAGTTCATTTCCAGTACCAAGGATACAGGGATTTCCTAGGGGACCAGTTCCTGCATTTGCGTGTCTATGAGTGTTGGTCAAAAACAAAGTCACTACCATGGAGTCACTGTGATGCCGCAGGGCGGGGTAGCACCGCCCTGTGTGTTTGTGCTCCCGACAGGAACACAAAGCCTCTTTCTCCTGAGCAGCTGGTGGTTTCAAACTTCTGACTTTGAGGATCACAATGCAATGCGTAACCACTATGCCACCAAGGCTCCTGTCAGTCAAACCGCATGCTTCAAATCACAGACACTTTTAAACAAAAAGATGAAAATGTCAAGCTATTGTTTCTCAACATCTCTTCCACAGGTCAACATGCTTTTTTTTTTTAATGATCATTTTATTGGGGGCTCATACAGCTTTTACAACAATCCATACATCAGTTTTATCACGCATATTTGTACATATGTTACCATCATTATTTTCTAAACATTTACTTTCTATTTGAGCCCTTAATACCACCTCTTCTTTCTCTTTCTTTCCCCTCTCAGCCTCGTGACACCCTGATCAATTATAAATTATTATTGTCATATCTTACACTGACCACTGTCTCCCTTTCCCCACAGTTTCTGTTGTTTGTCCCCCTGGGGGCAGGGGGTGATGTTCCCACTTCTTCACCTCCGCTCCCCATCTTCCTGGTATCGTTACTCCCATTCCTGTTCCTGAGGGGTTTATTTGACCTGGATTCCATTTGTTCTGAGTTCTTATTTGTACCTGTGCACATGCTCCAGTCAAGCCCACAGTGAAAGGCAAGACTGGGGTGATAACAGTGGGTGATGAGGAAGCCTCAAAGAACCAGAGGAATATGATGTGTTTCATCGGTGCTATACTGTGACCTCGTTGACTCATCCCATCCTTGTGACCCTTCTGTGAGATGTCCTACTGTCTACTCTGACCCCCATTGTTCTTAACAATATGTGTTGTGTGTTTGTTTGTTTGGTTTGGGTCTTCTGATGCCTGTTACCTGATCCCATCAACCCCGCATGATGGTACAAGCTAGTGTGCTTCTTCCATGTGGGCTTTGTTGCTTCTTAGCGACATAGCTGCTTGTTTAACTTCAGCCCTTTAAGGCCTCATAGATGCTTTATCTTTTGATAGCTGGGCACCATCAGCTTTCTTCATCTCATTTGCTTGTGCACCCATTTTGTCTTCAGTGATCATGCCGGGGTAAGCATCACAGAATGCCAGGTTGTTAGAACAAAATTCAACATGCTTCTGAAGGCACTGTTTCCATCTCTAAGCCTTCTCTGAAGAGGGCTGAGCTCTTCAATTTTCACCACATCAAAAAGTCATGCTTAGGCATCTTATCTTTGGGTGACTCAATTCTTGGTCTGTTACGCTGCTCTGAGAGTATGGGGAACAGTAAGAAATCTGAAAGGGCAAGAGCAGGGCTGTAGAAACCTTGGGTAAGGTTTCCCAAAGAAATTTTCTCATTAGATCAGCCGTTGCTACCCTTGAAAAACGAGCAAGGTACACAGTCATTAAGGGGGGAAATTTCTCTATGAAAGTTTCCTAGTCTTTCTCTCCCCAATATGGTTTTTAATTTTCTTCATAAGTTGGGCTTTTGAGCTACAAAGTCAGGATTCAAAACCAGCAGCTGCTTCTCGGGAGAGAGTCTTAGAAACCCACTGAGGCAGTTCTACTCTGTCCGACGGATTGCCAGGAGACTGGTTGAGGGGACATGTTTGAATAGATTTTGGCAAAAACCCACCCCTGTATGAACTGGACCTCCAGGAGCAACAGGTTCTGACTTATCCTCAGTCTATATCAGGGACTTCCATGCAAAATGGAATTAGAAGAAACAAAATTCCTCCTTAAACTTTTTGAAACCCCTTCATATACATACATACATACATTCTACCAATCTACCTCTATACACACACATACTTTTTTAAAACTTGGTGTCAATTTTTTTTTTTATAAATAAGACATATCACTTAGTCTCCCATCCGTAGGCAGGATTGGGAAATCTGGAAATAAATGACATTAAATCACAAAGCTATGCTCTGATTCATGATGAGGAGAAGGCCCACGGGAATTTACTGTGAAGCTGGGGCACTTCTGAACTCCCTACCCTCCAAGCTCCGATTCTGACCGCATAAACGCTGCAAGGCAAGGTCTCGGGGAAAAGTACCTAACAGTCAAGTTGCCATATTAACTGCTTAAAGCATCAAAGTGCTTCCACGCCCAGTCATCATTCTAAATTTAGGGCTGGCAGAGAGCTTTTTGATGAAAGTCCCTTTGTAAGTAGAAAAGTTTTGCTGTTCTACTATTTTGATCACAGCCGACAGCAGAGGGCCATCATAAACTTCCACTGACAGAATTGGAGAGGCGGTGCGAAGCCCAGGTTTGGGAGACATAATCCCATTTATTGTGTTTCCTAACATTTCACTGATACTGTTTATTCTCTCAATGCACTCCTGTCATTCCTTTTATTACTGCTGTTTTATTATCAGCAGAAGTAATCATCAGAGTGTAATTAATTGATTTATTTTGGGAGATAGTGGAGTACATGGTGTTTCAGAGTATCTTGGGAAACAGAACAACACCCAGAAGCAACTCACTCCTCACTCCCTGCGCCCCACCCCCCTAACAAACATGAGTCTGCCTCCTGGTCATTGCAGCTTCAGAAGATAATCCAAGGGAATGCGGGTGATGGCCCCTGTGGGCCTTTAAAATCAATCCTCTCTGAGCTTCCAATCAGCCTCAAGGAGTCCTGGGGAGGACATCAAGGCTGGAGAGAAGCCAGAGTCCTTTCCCAAGACCTGCTGTCAAAAGACCTGCATCCTTAACCTATCTGTGTCCTGGCCTACCTATGTTAGCCAAACTGAAGGTCACTTTGAAGTTACGTCTAACCCTCAGGGATGCTCCCAGGAATGAGACAGGCAGCCTACATAGGGTTTCTTCTTAAACAAAATATGTGTTTGTGTGTATTTATATCCAAGTAACAAAATGAAATCCTCCAAGCTGTCCGAAGTCTGACACCTCTTGGTTTCCTGTTCACTGGAAGCTGGTCAACTCAGAAGAACGTGAGAGGCTTCTCCTCATTATCGTTGATGCAAAAAGGCATAAAAGAACAGAGCAAAATGCCAGTTACCATATAAGACTTAATACCATTTTGGATCCATTTTACCTTTTCCATCTGAAAAGTTAACAGAGGTAAGGGGAGAAAGGGCAAGAGCTCTAAACCAATAAAGACGTTTGCCCCTGGGAGCTATGTCTGGAGACATTGCAGGGAGGCGGGTCCATGAGTGGAAGTCTACTCAAAGTCAATGGCTTGGTATTTCTTTGTTTGGGTTGTTGCTGGGTGGTGGTGGTGGTGGTGGTACTGGCACTGAGTGGCTAGAGGTGACAAATACTATGAGATGCTACAGCCCATACAAGGGCAGCTCCCCCAATGAAAATGTAAGCAACCCCACCCAAATGCTAACTCGACAAAGCTGAAAAATCCTGTGCTGGAGAGACTAGAATGAAGGCGCAGAAGGGAAGCGTCGCTGGAGAAGAAAGGGGCCGGAATGTGCTGTATAACGTAGCACAAGTTCTGACTAAAACGCCTTCTGCATTTTACTCCAGACTTGAGCTGGAATGTTTCAAGAGACCTTCGTATCCCTCTTCTATCCACAGGAAGAGAGAGAGAGAGAAAAAGGCAGGGGGTGGGAGGGGATGATGGTCAGTGAGGCAGCCTGCTAATTAGCAGGCAGATAAAAACACATCAAAACTTGAGTATTCCCAACTGGGCAATTTCAAAAGGGAGCAATCCACTAATTAAAAATGCTGGGAGTCTAGCTTTTTCAAAACAGGTTAAATACTGGCTGGGTTCCTTCACAAATAGATTCCCAACCAATGGGACCTGACTGCTCTTTTCCCGTCCTCTCCCATTTCCATCTTTCTCATTTCCTGACCTCCCGCTGCTGCAGCTCCCTCTCTGCTTCCTCCCTTCCACTGCTCTCCCAGAAACAGCCTTTGCGCCCCTTAATATATTTTGCCTTTGAAAAGACATCTAACTGGTGTTCATTTATCCACAGCTAGGGATGACCAATGCGAGGATGGCACGAATAACTGAAATCCATAACGAACATAAACACGCTACTTTTAAGTTATTTGTCTCCATCTTCCTTCCCACCGAGCGAGCGGCATCTGACCTGACAG